GAGATTTAGTCAGTGGAGGGGAGAAGGAGAAAAAAGGAGGAGGGCTGGAGCTGTGCACAGGTTGGACACAGAAAACAAAAGGTTTGCTCTTCCCCCTGTGTGCACTGTGAGTAGAAGGTAGAGAGAGAAAGCGAGAGAGGAGGGGTGGCGGAGTGGGAGGGAAGGGGAATGTTTGCATTGTGTGAGGCTAATGAGGAGAGACCAGGGAGCAGAGACCATGCATCGGACAGCCATGTGCTGCACAGGCGCCCGTTGGATTGGCCTACACACATGTGCGCACACACAGATACACAGATTTTAACATAGTTACTGATACCCACACTGCAGTTCAGGAGGAGGCCAGATATGTGTTGCACTACTTACTCAGTTTCAGTATCAGTCAAAAAAATATGTTCCCATTTCAATCTCCCTTTAACACCGGATCACATAACTGTCTGGCAGTCATACGCGGGCAGAAAAGTACAACCTAAATGCAGTTAATCTGCTTTAAAGAGCATTTTAGCATCTTTCAGCTCATGATGTGGATTTTTCTTTTTTGCCACAACTTTACTGTCCTGAAGGCAAATGTTCATTAAAAAAAAGAGAAAAAACCAACTGCATGCCTGCTCAGCCTCAAACTGTAGAAAAAGTTGGCAACTATCTGGTGATAATAGAGCATTTAACTGCTAAAGTGCTAGATACATATGCATCTCTGAGGAGGCGGTGGAAACCCAACCGCAGCTAAACGGAGAGTGAGCACTGGATGGATGCCATATCAGTGTCAGTATTATGTTTGTTTCACATGATTTTTCTCGATTCTTCAAGTTTAAGAAAATGGAAATTTGAATTATAATTACATAAACAACAGGATAAACTCCCTCAGCTGAGGGAGAATCACAGAGCTCAGGTTAAAGCTCAGAAGTAGACCTTAAATGAACATTTTGAAATTGTGCTTTTACCTCTATGGTAGCCCAAAGAATGTCTCCTTGCACCTTTAAAACACAATTTCACTGCAATATCTAATATGTACAATCAAAAAAGATTTCAACATGTAAGCTGCCTTGCTTCCATTATTAAGGTTTAAATGAAGTCTGTTTACCATACAGAATTAATACTATTTATTTAATGCTCTTATCTCAATGATTGTAAGAATAGGTGAAAAATCCAGTTCCCTAAAATGCTAAATAAATTTTGTTTATTATTATTATTATTATTTTAAGTGGCTCCAATATTTTTGTATATTTTAATTTAATTTATATTAATTGACTGGATACATTAACAAACTGTGAAGGTCAAATAGTCGAAAATGTTTAGAGAATAAAATATGCTATGCCGTGTGAGTGTTCTCAACCCAGAAACTATCTTGCATTTATTCATCCCCCCACACCACTCTTGCCTTTCAAGTATTTCTTATCTGGCACTAATCATGGCAAGATAATTGTGCATCACCATCAGATGGGCAACCCAGAATAGAGGCCAAACGCACACAACAACTCTGCTTATTCAGATGACATGCCTTGCACGCCTATGTACTAAAGCTGTCGTGCAACTGCTCATTACAATGAATTAAGAGAGGTCTGTGTGTAAATGTTGAGCCTACCATTCAATTTTTGGTGGTGAAGGGAATCTGAAGCTGGAGGGGTGTGCGTCTGGTATGGTGAGGTGGCCACAGCCAGCATCTGGAGATATGTGTGGCCATGTCCACTGGAAGGAAGGAAGGAAAGAAAGTAAGGACGGACGGAGAGATGATTGATGAGAATGAAAGACAGAAAAGAGAGCGCGCAAAAGACCTGATGTTAGTAGTTGAGAAAAGTGTGGAAGATTACACTCAGATAGTCTGTTTCAAAGTGTTAAAATTACTTTAAGACTGTCCTGTCTATTGTCCAGACCTGCTTTGTCTGTGCTGGCAGACAGAAATGGAGCAATAATAAGGTAATTGCAATATTCGTCACTCAAAGTCTTAATTGAAACAAGGTGGACTGGGCCTTAGAGACACGATGACCCTGCAACATATCTGATCGAAGATGTCTGAAGAAGTTGGCTGCAGTCGTTCAGACTATTCAACGCCTCACTGTGTTTCCATATCCACCAATCTTTGGTGAGATATGTCACATGTACAACTTGCAATGCTCACACTTGGAGAAACTGTGGGAAAGGTGTGTGATTTAGAGAGTGACAGCAAAATGTTAAGGGATTTAGCTGTTCAGCCTGCCTTATCTCCAGCTCTGGTTCCTGACCAAGTGTTGGTCTTTGGGAAAGTAGTCAGGCACAGGCTTTGGGATGTGCTCCCTGGGCTGTGTCTGGGCCTTTGCGCTTGCAACTTTAATTGAATCATTGCTTACAACCAGCAATTTGGAGGCCTTTTCAGTTCATTAAAAGTTCAGCCATTCAGGTTTGCTGTGCTCCAGATTACGGCATGTTAAATTGTGTTTTGACAGGCTGAAGTTTAATGTCCAGCACAAGCCTCAGGAGGCTGATTGATTAAAGAGATAACGCCTGTCTGGGAAGACAATAGTTGTACCTAGAGACACACAAAACAACTGAAATTAAGAAACTTTTATGTAGTTTTATATTTGGGAAAAATGGTTTATTTATGGCATATTTGCTTTTATTGGACAGTCAGCAACAAAGAGGCATAAAACATAGAGGGAAAGACAGAGGATGACAAGCAACACAAGTCCCTAGCTACAAATGAAATCATGACTGCGCTGTCATGTGATGACTCTTTCCTTAGAGACTGAGCACATGCCACTGTTGTTCATATCAAAACCACTGTATTTGCCTTTAATCTCATCTGTCCAAGCTGTTCTGGGGTGCTCACTATTAGACAGCGTATCAATATGTTTGCAAGCAACAAACGCGATCATGCTCTCTTCCTTAAGTGTTGTTATAGCGCTCTCAGAAACATGTGATATTAAAAAAATGATATTAATTGGTTATGATGCATCAGTAAACTGGTCAGACCCTGGGCTTTGAAGACAGACTTCTAGTTTGGCTTGAATAAAACCTGTCAAAGGTTGATTGAATGCATATTGTTGGAACTATTCAAGTTCTTGTATTATTTATTGGTTATGAAACTACTACATTTACATATTTACTGCATATTTATAGTTACTCTTCCCACCCTCCCCTGTCCTTAAATGACTAGTTTTGAGTATTGCACATAGTGAATGATAGGCTGCTTAATGCTGCTAAGATTAAAAGGTTGTGTCTCTTTTTATATCAATTTTGCAAAACCGGAGACTTTTTTTTAACAGGCAGCATCACAGTTTGCTGATTGTTAAACGGCTGTTATTCACTCTTAGATTTTACCTATTCTAGCCTTGTAATTAGAGCATTTTAAAAAATAGTTTACATTTGAAGGCATCAATTAGATTGTTGTTCTTTATTCATTGTTCTTTACAGATGTGTCATAATAAAAAAAATCATATAGCAACTGAAATTTTCTAGGCAAATGTAAAGCCTGCATATGTCTAATCTGTCATCTTAAATGCTTTCTGCCAACAAATAATTGGAATTAATAAAAATCAGAGACAGTTATCGTGTAAATATTGAGACTATTAGGATTTAAATGGATAAAAATGCTGCCAGCCCTACTCATTTTTAAATCTACATATAGCCTACCTGACAAAATGACGTCACAACAACGTTTCCTTTGGTGGAAACTATTTTGGACTATGAATTGAAACACTGTCATATCCTTGATAGAAGATATTTATCTCCACCTACAGAAAACTCTGTCTCTCTCTGTCTGTGAGGTTATCATCAGTTCATCAAGGGAACATGGAAGTCAGAGACAATACCTCCCCCAACTTCACCAGGCACTAAGTTTTGAAGCAGAGCATTTCAGTGAAAGACCAGCACCTTGAGGTTGGATAATTTAAAGAGGAAGAGGCCCTGTGTGCTTTATGACATTGTCAGATGCTGCTGCTGTGATCAAAACAAACATGAATCGGCCTCAGTTTGGTAAGTGTTTCACCGAATCACATCGGCTGTCTCTCTCAATATGATGGCAAAATAATTTGTTTCATCAATTTCAGTCTGCGGTCTTAAAAAAACAAGAAGCTTTTGGATGGTTATAGAAAGGCTTGAGGCCTGAATAACATAATCCATCCAAATGCAGTTAAGGGTGATGATTCCTGCTTGTTATAGTTTGCAAGCAGAATCAAAATGTACTTTTTCAAAGGTACTGAAACTAATTAGGAGCCATAAACACACACAGCATTTTTGTGCACATGTTTTGTTTGATTTGTAATAACAGCTCAGAGTGCAACTGATACAAAGGGAGTCTAAGGCTTTTTATTAGTCTACTGCTAATGTTCACTAATGCTCAGCTCAACTACTCTGCGTGAAAAGATACTAAGGTACAGCGTTTACTTAAACGTTTACTGCTACTTTACGCTTCTCCCGAGAGACATACTGTACTTGTAGTCAGCTACATTTGGCAACTGCAGTGGCTTCTTAAATTAAGCATTAGTACACCACACATATAAATACTCTGCTATGCAGCATATAAAGCACTTAAAATCGACTCAAATGCGAGTCATTACATCATTAAAGACCTTTTAACGTGTTAATGACTCAACAAGATAATCATACAATGTAATATAGTTGTTAGAAGTAAAAGTACCTAAAGCTTTTTGTTGTAATTTTTAACTGGAAGCTGCTGGGGGGTGTTTGTACTTCTGAATGATTCTTACATAACAACGCATTTTATCGTGAAAATGAGCAATGACTATGGCACTCTCCCTGTGCTTACCCTTAATATGCAGCCGTCACTCGTTGACATTCTGGCGAACGACGTGGCTGATCTTATCTTATCAATATAACTGGTTTATAAGTTACTGTACGCTTGTCATATGGCGTTCACAAATTAGAGGCCAGCGCTTACCGACTTTTTCATCCCCCCAACATCACTGCAACCCGCGTCCCACTCTCGATAAGGCCTTTGGGACTCACTGCCATTGGGTGTCGCTGTGCGCGTAAAGTCTCAGCCGGCAGGTTTGGTCCGAACGGACCTCAACACAGTCTGAAGTGTCAGACAGTCTTGTTAACACGTGAGAAATTCAGTGTGTGGAAGAAGGTGAAAGAGGGGGAGACCGGGAGAGAGGGGGCTGCAAATTTACGCGGAAGAGAAGTTTTTGAGAGAGAGCTGGACACTGAGGGAACTGCGGAGATCTTATTGAGGGAATGCCGAAAAGGGGAGAAGACATACGGCCAGAGCACCAGACATGAGTCCGAGGTAAGATTGAGAAACGGGTAGAAAGGCGGGGATGGCACACAGGCAGACGTGTCAGAATGAGCAGTTTTATTGAATTACAGAGATGAGTTGATCCAATTACTGTATGCTTCCCCAGGTCTTTTCCTTTTGAGCAGATTGATGTAACCCGTACTGACAGAGACGGTAACATCTGGATTATAGCACCACCGCTCATTTGATATGCAATATTTCAGACTTAGGTTTTCTGTTGATATTTGGCAAACAACATGCAAGCTATTCAACTAAACTGGAAACGGGGTGAAAAAACGTTGTGCTGGCACAGAATAGGAAACTGTAATAGATATTAGATAAAGTTTCACGTAATTAATTTAAATACTTTATAGAGCAGCTGCAAAGGACTTCTTCAGAAAAGGGAAATACAATTTATGTTTATCTAAAAACCGTCATCATGGCACTACCTGCGAGGGCGCACAACTTTGACTTCATTACTTATCTTAAAAATATGACATCAGAGGAAGAGCTTGATTATTTTTAAGTAGCCAAGAAAAGGCCCTCGTGTCATCGAGTTGCTAGTTTCCCTTTGTATCCCAAACTCGTACTGGTGTTTGGTTCAGTCACCAATCCGGGTCATGATCGAGGGCTTTAACTGCGCAACAGGTGTTTTACCTGAGCGGGTGAGGGAGAGCGCACGCGCGCGCGAGAGAGAATTTTAAGGTGCCCAAAGTTTATCTAACCTGCTTTAACTTTCCCTGTAACGGAGGCTAATTGTTTTCTTTAAGGCTCGTATTGTGGCAGGTTTTTGTCAGGGGAAGTCTGGAGAAAAGGACACGGACACTTTTATTTTAACCGTTTTTTTGATTTATTCAATGAAACGGCTTCAATTATACAATATCAACACATTTATTCCCTCAGTGATTTGTGATTGAACTTGATTGAATTTTGAGCTGAGTTTTGAAGAAAAAAATAAAAATAAAATCAGCGTCGTTATGGAAGAAGTCTGACTGCTTTAAGCTCCTGACATGTTATTGATTCGCTGTCCAAGCTATTTCCGTCATTACGCTTCTGTCTAAAATTAAGGTGGGCTACCTAAGGATCATAGGTATAACACACACATATGTATACAATTGCTGCCTGTCTCTTTAAGACGATGTGTTGAGAAGTTCAAGTCGGGGTCACATGAAGTTCCTGCCCTCGATTTTACCTTTTAGTTTTATTATAGACTGACATCACACGGGGCGCTAAAACACTTAGGGCGCATAGAGGGTCCATTATCATCCCTGTGCGCGTTATTGCTCCAACTCAAAAATAGCTAAGGAAATTACTTGAAAAAAAGGGAGGAAAATGATGCTGTACTAAGCACGTATTTTTTTTTTTTATAGGAGGGGACGAGAAAGAGGGGAGAGGAGGGACAGAGAGACAGAGAGACAGAGGGAGAGGGAGGAAAGTGGGTGGGAGGACGGACCTAAGGAGTGAAAAGAAATTCATATCAATTAATAATCATAAAAAAAAGAGCTGGCAGACGAGCTCGGAAAACTGGCATGGTTTTTTGGAGGCTGGCAGTTCAAAGCTGAAACGTCAGATATGACTCCTAGAGACTGCTGAGATGATCATTAAGGGAGACTTAGATCGGATGGCAGAAGACATCGGGCATGCAGGTAAGAGCTGATATGTACAGAGGCAAGAAGAGGGGAAGGATGACATTTCTATTATTAATGACTGAACTCTGTGCGTGCTTTCAGAAGGAAACTTCCTGGAGTCGATGAGATATTAGTGGAACTTGTTTTACAACATATGGCGTCTTTCTCTGTTTTTTAAATCCTGTTTTAATTCGGACACGGAACATTGCACATGTTCTTAATAGCGCATTTAATTCGCATTGGTTGAAACATAGAATTGTTTAATACCTTGTTCCTTACGTTATAAAAAATTGTCACGTAAAGAGGAAGCTGGTAATTTGTATATTTCTTCAAGATCACGCCGAAGTAACCGGCGGTTTTCAAATAAAAATAATCTGACATGCTTCGAGTACAAAACAAGAAAAAAATCCCTCTGTAAAATGAGATTTTAACGTGTTTTATATTGATTGATAGTGTATTTGAAAAAAACTTTAAAAACTTTAAAAACTCAGAATTAAAAATATAAATACATTTTTAAAAAGCTGTATTTAGTAAAATAAATGTCTTATAAATTTGTCAGGGATGCTGCAACAAAATCCTTAAGCAAAGTCCTCACTGGGGATCTGTCTTTATGTGTAACAACAGCAGTGCGGAGCTTAGGTGAGGACACAAGCGCAGGAGAGCGTTATATGAATTTTTTTTTTTTTTTGTGGGGGGTGATTTGCAGTGTATAAATTTCTGGTTTCCTTTGTACAAGTGGAGACTTTACACAGCTGCCCGGAAAGAGATGCTCTCTCAATGCTGCTGACAGGTCTGAAAAGGGAAAAAAGAGTTGCTATAAGAAACAGCTGTGTGATACACCTAGTAGCGCAATGAGGTGAAATCGGCCTGTTTCTGGAGATGATTTCATTTCTTTTTCTTCTTCTTCTTCTTCGGCGGAGATAAGGAGAAGCAGAGGGTAGATGAGGCGCTGCAGCGCAGAGGAGATGCATTCACTCGTGACTCGGTTTACTGCTCAGTGTGTGAAGGGCAAATTAAAACGTTAGAAACCGAGAGGTCGGGTCCTCTCGGCGACTCACGAAGGCGGGACACGACTTTTTGTTTTACGACATGTAGTATTCCGATGTGTATGTACATGTATATTTTAACAGTGAAATCAAAGCCAACACCGAAGTTAAGAATTTAATCCTTAATAATCGCACAGGAAAACAATAATAATAACTGCATCCAAGCAAGCTGCAGAAATTATTATCATACATATTGTCTTTGATAATTGCTTAGGGGAAAAAAGGAAATTAAAAAAAGGAACGACTTGCTTTGAAAACTTTAGTATATCATTTAAAAAACAAGCAAACAGGTTACCTCCGTAATACTAGCATAGAAGTTTGGATTATTATAATGTCATGGTTAATATGACCATCTCGTTATCTCATTGTTAACTCAGTTACAATCTACATGAAGAAGATGTCACCCTCATGTCTTTATCAGTAGTCTATTTCTAAATTTGTGATGATTTTTAGGATTATAGAAATATAGAAATCAAACAGGAAAATGATTAACTGCCCATCCTGTTTACTGATGTGACGAAAAAAAACCCAAACTGTCAAATATAATCACTAATCATCACTGCAAACACCCAGTCTATTCATCTTTTTTTCCAAACTTCAAACTCTAAAACAGTTCGCCTCCATTGAGTCACAAAAATGACAAAATAAATTAGGTGGGCTGAAGTTGTAAAAAAGTACGGTAAAAGTCTTTGCGAAAAATTTACACTGACTTTGTATTTATTCTAAAATAAACAAGGCTATAGGAATATGGGTCCCAAATTGAAAAGAAAGAAAATAAAACATCAGCACAACGTTTTAAGCAGATGTGTGGCGTGTTTATATGACTGAGGCTGTATGCAGAGGTAGGAAGTTTAGTCTTGCTTCACCCCAAACCACAAAAGTGACAAAACAGACAAAACTTAGAAACAATGACTATTAATCTAATGCAAAAAGGTGAATGTCATTGCCATAAACTACATAACAATCATAAGAGATTTTCTAGCCTGTTCAGGGGTCTTTTAGAAGAAAGCTATCAATCTACGAGGGAGCTGTAAGCTTCCCTCAGGAAACTGCACTGTATGTGCAGTCTTGAAGAATAACATTACAGCGCATGTTTAACATAACAAAACAAGCAGTTTTTGTGGCTTATTATAGGCTTAAAATGTGTTTTCAAGTTCACGGCATGTAGCAGGTTCTCTTTAAGATGTGTTCTCTGACTAAATATTGCAATCATCGATAGCTTCCTAACCAGGATGCAGCCAGCTTACACATGGCCTCAAGATCAAGCGTTTTGTATTACATCTTTTACTGTAATGTTTCACTTTTTGTCAGGGGCTATAGTAAGTCGAGAGTTTATTTAAAGGGCAAGTTGTAGCCTGTCAAACAACTCAAAGAGCAAAAGCATAGAGGTCTTTGTTGTCTTGATAGTAAACTCACAAACACTGTGCCTGTTGTTATCACAAAACATTACTAAAAAAAATTGTTAGGCTGTATCCACAGGACATTGCAGGTGCACATAGATGTTGTAATATGTCAATTAAGAAAAAGATTTTTATGTACTGTGAAGAAGTATTTAATCAGAAGTCAGGATATAAAGAAGGCTTAGTTTTCTGCCAGGCTTTCTGATGAAATTCTAATGCTTAAATGTGCACTACAAACCACATACAGGAGAGAATGTACACAGTCTGTTAACATACGGTTCAGAGTAACAAGTACTCAGCTCAGTGCGATGAAGACTGCAACAGCTCAGCAAGTTATGGAAATTACTCGGTCAATTCTTCACATTTACTTAGATCTTAAACTCGTTTGATGTCATGAAAATTTCTAGTAAATTATGTCCGCTGAAAGCCGAAAAGAAGAGAAGCCGGCAGTGGATGCACTTCACATGTCAGCTGGAAACAGGATGGAGTGTGAGCCCACGTACTACCCTTACTAGAACTGTCTTTTTAAAAGATATACTTCCGATCATACAATAGTTCAGCTGTACGTGTGGAAATGACGACAGGACCTTTTAAAAAAATTCAAAATGAATTATTTTTTTAAAATGGCATTTGTTGTTAAAAACAGAAATTTCCTTTGATATTTATCGCATGATGCTTATCAGATGGTCACTTGCTGGACTTGACTGTGACTTGTCATTTTCCATTTTGTGAGTGATGACATTTCTGTCTGATTTCGCAGCTCTAATGCTGAACAATCAACATTTTAAAAATGCTCAGTCTTAGCTGTGGAAGATTTTTGGAGGAAAAAATTGACACATTTTGCTCGGGAATTGTCATAATTCCTCAGTAACTCATTTGTCAGGTTTTTTTTTTTTAACTCATACTTCTCCATTCTTATGCTGAGTGTGTACACTTAATGAAATAAACAAGAAGTGAATGAGCTGGTGTCAGGAAGACAGCGATCAGATGGATGACATGATATTTATTTAGCTGCTTGTTTCCCATCAGTGAGACTGAGCCTTTAGGGACAGTTTGAGACGTTTAATCTTGTAAGTAAACTAGGCTCAGATGCCACTGATTGAACAATACGTGGGATTTCATTCGTGCAGCCAATATAGTTTGTTTTAAGATTGGTGGAACAATTACTGTCAGGATTTGAGCGTGTACATGTGCGTGTTTGTGCGCGTGTGTGTAGGTGCACACTGGATCTTTGAAACCTACCTCAACGTAGCGTATTGAAACACCTAATGTTGATTTACATCCCGTGCGCTCAGTGTTCCTTATATGACTGGGCAAGAAGGGGAGCTGAAATCTCGATCTTTTTTTGGATGTGTCCTTCCCCCACAGGTTTATACCTGCTCTTCGTCATATTAGCAAAACATTTGTCCCTAAGCTTTGTTTAAAACTGTGTGCAGCACTTCTGGAATACTTTATCAGGAAGCCAGCAATTACAAAATATATATTTGTGGTTCTCTGTCTTGAGCTCTTTCTCTTTTTTTGCTTGCTGCAGAGGAAGTGAATGCAAAGACTTGAATTTCTTATAATGAGAAAACCACTGCAACTGCTCACCTTTTGCAAAAGTTCACTTCTACCGAGTGGCCTTTCCGTGCACTTTCCACACATAAGTTCTGCACTTTACTGTCAAAGCTGGTCAATCTGCTTAAATAGCTGTTACGCAAATAATAAGCGAATAATAAAAGCGTAACTGTGAGCTTCCATTAAGACGTATTTAAGTATTGTTTATGTTTTAAAAGAAAATCTGACAGCGGTTAATTCATCTTAATAAGTGCATCCATATGCAAGGTCTTTTTTTTAATGGTTTACATTACTAGCCCGTTTGCTGTTAAAGCTTTTGGCACTCAAACTTCTGAAAATATACTCTGATTTAATGTAATGTGTTTATTGTAACTTTTGATAGATTGTGATTATGAAATGCATCAATAATAGTTTTAGTATGCAGAAAATTGCACATTAATTGGCTTATTGTGACTTGAAATGATGACTGCTGCATGACGTTTTACAGATATCTGTTGTTGCAGGTGGTGGACTGAAAACAATGCTGGATGCCATGGAAGTTCCAAGTCATGCTAGGGATCTCCTCCTGCAACTCAACAGCCAACGCACCAAGGGCTTCCTGTGTGATGTTATCATCGTGGTGCAGAACGCCCTCTTCAGAGCTCACAAGAACATTCTGGCTGCCAGCAGCCTCTACTTGAAGTCTTTGGTGGTCCATGACAATCTCATCAACCTCGATCACGAGATGGTGAGTCCAGGGGTCTTCAGGGTAATTCTGGACTACATCTACACAGGCCGCCTTAGTGATGGAGACCCCACTTCTCCAAATGAACCAAATCTAGGGGCTGTCTTGGCAGCAGCCAGCTACCTTCAACTGCTTGACTTAGTGGCTTTGTGCAAAAAGAAGCTAAGAAGAAATGGCAAGTACCCTCCCCGCCCAAGTCCAGCATTTCTACCCTACTCAAAGATGGGGCCAAATAGCATGGGTTTAGGGAGTGGTGGCAGGTATAGGGTTTCTACTCCTGTCATTCAATCCTGTCCTCCAGGCGGAATTTTGAACAGCCACGGACCCCGGGCACTACCACCAGAGGAGCTTGTTCCACATCGACTAGCTGTTCATACAGGAGAGTTGTATGCTCCCACCTCCACCCAGGGCTCTCAGGTGTTCCCCTCTCTGCAGTCACCTCTGCCTTCTCAGCTTGGGCGTGCAGCCCTATCCGACAGGAACTGCTCACCCAGCTTCGGCCTTGATCTCTCTAAGAAAAGCCCCACCTCTCAGTCTCAGCTCACACCTTCTCAGACCCATCTGGGGAACACTCATAATGACGAGGAGCGAGATGGGACTCTGAGTGACCGCACAAGTCCTATCCATGGGACGAATGGCAGAGCTTTCCCCTCAGAAAAAATGGAATCAACTGACCAGGGAGGCTCCCTCACTCCGCCACCTTTTCCACCTCTCAACCAACCGATAGCCCCGCACCTTCCCCACCTGCATCGCTCAGGTTCCCAGGGGACAGACCGCTACCCATGCCCCCCAAGTCCGGACACCCCCACGGAAGGCGGAGAGGCAGGCAGAGAAATGGGCAACATCTACCGCTGGGTAAAACACGAACCGCTGTCATACACAGCTGAAGATGAAGATGAGGATGAAGATGAAGAGGAAGGGGGTGAAAATGGAGATCAGCATCATAACCATCACAAGACTGGGGAGGAGAGTGAAGGAGCAGATGACAAGAGCGGGTCAGGCACAGAAGAGACAGGCAGCAGTGAGGGTCGCCCATCCCCGACTGGACCAATGGGGAGGTTCCACATGCCGTACGAGCCGGAGAGCTTCGGGGACAATCTGTATGTGTGCATTCCCTGTGACAAAGGCTTCCCAAGCTCAGAGCAGCTCAATGCACATGTGGAGACACACACGGAAGAGGAGCTGTACGGCAACTCAGGCGGGGACATAGGAAACGGCAATAACAGCAGCAGCAAAAACATGAGCAGTAACACAAACGGTTATGGAAGCCTCAACAGCAGCAATACTCTGAACAGTTTGTCACACCTGGAGACCAAGTCGAGCCAGCTGAATCCAGCGAGCATCGGGGAGATGATTCGACCCTACCGCTGTTCCACCTGTGACAAGTCTTACAAAGATCCAGCCACTTTGCGCCAACATGAGAAGACCCACTGGCTGACACGGCCTTACCCCTGCAGTATTTGTGGCAAGAAATTTACACAGCGCGGTACCATGACCCGCCACATGCGTAGCCACCTCGGCCTCAAACCTTTTGCCTGTGACTCCTGTGGCATGCGCTTCACCCGGCAGTACCGCCTCACTGAACACATGCGCATTCACTCTGGTGAGAAGCCCTATGAATGTCAGGTGTGTGGGGGAAAGTTCGCTCAGCAGCGCAATCTCATCAGCCACATGAAGATGCACAGCAGTGGAGGGACTGCAGGGAGCCTGACCACAGATGGGAAACTGAAGCTGGACTTTGCAGAGGGCATTTATCCTCTGAGTAAATACACAGCAGAGCATCTTGGACTCAAACAAGAGAAGGCTAGTGAGCTTCTCATCCAAGCGCAGCAGCAACTGGTGGCTGATGCAAAGGTCATGGAGAGCCTGTATCCACTCTCCAAACTGGCCTCTGAACACCTGGGCCTCACCCACGACAAGATGGACATCCTGGGCCAATCACTGCCCCCACAGGCCCTCTCTGACGCCCGAACCATCGACCGCTACTCACCAAGTTAAGACATGTGATATCACCGATAAGTCTGTGTGCACACACAATTTGCAGTATCCTTATTCCATTCACCTCAACTCAATATCTCTGCACCTCAGACTCAGGCCATAAACAATTGGTCTGCTAATGCACACCAAAATGTGTAGACTGTAAGTGCCTTTCTATGCATCTAATGTATCCTAAAGACCTCCTTCATAAAGGAGTTTTGTGCTATTACGTGACCAAGGGACACTCACTTTTAAAAAAAAAAAGTACAGTATTTATGTACAGTGTATGCAAAGAAACTTTTTTTTCTATGATTACAGCCATTGAGCCAAAGTGAAAAATTGAAAACCAAAATGAAAATTGTTTTATTTATTTTTTATTATGGTGGAATCCAAAGAAAACAAAAACTATCCCTGACCCTAAACCTGTGTACTATTCAACTTTGTAAAAAAAAAAAAAAAGAAAGAAAGAAAGAAAAAGCACATAAGGACAAATTTCAGGGTTTGTCCAGAACTTTTATAATATGAATAAGGCCACTCACCTGGACTTTAAAGGAATGGGAGTACATTTCGTCTGTTTTTTTTCTATTATTTCATTTTTTAATTTCCTGTTTTTGGGGTACTGGACAATTTATGTATCTCGCTCTCCAGCTTCTCACCATCTTGGGAAATGACTGAATGATAAGAGCATTTTGATAGTCACCAGGGCAATATATTCCCCAATCACCATTTATTTTAAAGTAACACCACTCTGCATATTTGTGTGGATAAAGGGCTTGTACTATATGACAGCAGTTGAATCCACCTTATGCCCAGCTTTCAACCACTTATGAGCCGAAACTTCCTGTGCAGTTCGACAACCACCCCTTTGCGCTCAGTTGTTATTGAGATGCAGCAAGCACAGCCCTGTGATCTCATAACTGGGACATGATTGCACATACCCAACTGATGACACACTAATCCCCGTTCACGGCCAGTGGAGCTTCATCTTATGGTGTACATGAAGCATGGGTGTTGCCGCTGACATTGTGCAATTATTACAATTATGGATACAGTTGAGCATAGAGGCAGGGGTAAGGATGGGCTTAATGACACAGAAATCTGTCATTTACTGTCATCAGCAGTTAAACCATTCATTGCGGTCTGATGATTAATCGTGGAGCAGCAGTAGTCAGAGGCTTTGTTGGATGCTTCTCTGTTCCACCGTCCGGCCTCTCATTTGACCTCCCTCCCCTGTAGTCTGTTGTCTGGGAGCCCCGCTACTGTTGACAGGCCAAAGTGAGTGCTCTACTCAGCCCTTTGCCTTAGAAGCACTCCAAACACCGGATGCATATACGCTCCCCCTTCACACACAGCAAGCTGCTAATCTGTCAGTGATATGAACATAAGAAGGGGTTTGTGGGTCTTCCTTGGAAGCCAGCGGGTGAGTAGCACTCCCAGCTGCTGTGCTTCAGTAATCCCTGTGAAATCTCACTTTCTCCTGGACAATTCACACTGCTCGCTGGCGTGATGTCCCATTTCATGCCTGCCATTGTACCCCTCTGATCCACTTATTAACATTAGATCCCAGCCTAGCAAATGTGTCCTGGCCTTGCCTCTCGGCCCTGCTGGTATTAAATGCGGAAACAATGAATGACTGATTTGTGTGTTGGCTGAGCAGCCTGAAAACAAAAGAGCACTTAAAGATTGTGGGTTGAAGGCACATTTTTGTTTGTAAATCTTTATTCCAAAAAAAAAAAAGAAGTTGCATTTTTTTTCTTCTTTTTTTGGGTCTTTGTCCACTTTTACTAGTCCTCAATTCAGATTAGAAATGTTTGACCACTATAGTGCCGATGCCAACCTCAGAGGGTGAATGTGAAGATTAAAGCCATAAATACACTGTGATAGACGTAGTGAATCATAAAGGCTAAAAAAAAAAATCATACAGTGTGCCTTACTTACTTTTCCTTTTTCTTTTTAAATGTAACGATAATTTAAGGGCTTATTTTCTGTAGCATATGATCATATCAAACATGTTGTTTCTTGTCACTTTTCTTCATTTTAATTTGAACTGAAAGCAGCGCACGTGAAATTGGTGCTTACCTCAGGACTGAACCCAGCGTGGGGATGCTAATCTTTTGTAAACTATAGATCAACAGTATCAACACACATACATGCACACACTCACCCACACTCACCTTAGTATTTTTTTTTTATTAACAGGACCGTTGTCCTGTGTTAAACCTGTGGTTAATTCTTTGTTTATCCATTTGTTGTTACAGTTTTGTTGTGGAGAGATAAGGTGGTATTAACATTTTTGTTATAGTACGTGGTATACATTTTTTCTATTTTGTCTTCTTCAATGACATTTATGTCTGACCAGTTCCATTGTTGTAACATAAGGCAAAGCCATTTATGCTTGTACCTTAAGTGCTTGTCGATATCTGAACCACAGTTTAGTAAGTATGAAGGCAGCGAGATCAATATATTACAGTAAAGTTGAGCTGACAAGCTTTGTGTTGTGAAATATCTCCCTCTCTCTCTGTGTCTCTCTCCCTCTCTTGCTCTCTCTGTGAAAGACATGATGCATCATCTGTACTTCCTTAAACAGACACGCAGTGGCTTTGCTGGTTGACTATGAAAGCTAGCCTCGTATTGTTTGGCCCCCTTTTCCTCAGAGGTTAGTGAACTTTTGACAAGAGTCAGACGGAGGTCGCTCATGCACACAAGCACACAGGAAGCCAGCTTGTTTTGTTTGGTGCTCTGCAAAAAAAGAAAAAAAGGAAAAGAACATAGCAGAAAAAATAAAAATAAAACCAGTAGAGGCTTCATCTACAAACGTGTGTGTATGTGTTCAAAACCTAAAAAACAGGCAGAGGCAGTCGTGAGAATTTCCACACTCCCCTTCACTAGTTAAAATAACATACCGCTTCCACTGTCACACCAAATCTGTATAAGAGGGAAGACCAAGATAATGCCCGAGCATTTCTGTAGGAAGCGCACTGTTTGAAATCTGCTTAATTTCATTTATGTGCGAATGTTACTGGAGGGGAGCGTTTCACGTCTTTAGAAAGGGGAAGCAGTTGCTTGTCTGTTTGTGTGTCCCTGTGCTATTTAAGCGCATGAAGGCCTGGTAATGCATGTCCTGGGAATAGGGTTGGTGTGAAGGAGAAGAGCTGAGGAGCAGGAAGTGAACTTTTGGCTGGTGTGTTGTGCTGAGCAGGATGTGCCGTGTGTTTCTACTCAGAAGCAGATAGAAAGACGGAGAACGGGGAGGGAGAGGAGCAGGGAGAGCACAGCAGGGTGGATGCGAGCCATTGTCCTAATATGAAAGCCTGTCCACACTTCTGAAACTCTCCATTCAGAAAACAAGTAGTCTGTATCTTCTCTTTTCCTTCCCCTTGTTGCTTTTTGGGAATAAATCCCTGCTCAGTATCACGGTGATGTTGCATTGAAGGCTTTCAAGGGCTGCATGGTGAGACATTTAGATGCTTTGTTAGAATTTGAGGATATTGTGGACTCAATACTTTTGGCATCCTCGTGGTTTTTTAAAATAAATTTCCCCTCTATTTGCTATATATCCATATTTTGAACATTTTTTTTTAAATTTGAGGCAAGACTAAATAATAGGAAGACCCCAGTGAGTGTATTGTAGAGCCTAATTGAAAAACTTGGCAGTGTTTCCTTTGCTCTGTGGTTGTTTCACTTAGTCTAATTAGAAGAGCCTTGTTTCAATTTACTGATGTAGCCACCCACCCCATGGGTTTTATGCCCTTTGCCTTTGTTAATGTTATTTATATGACAAGTAAGCCCAGCAAAACTCTTATTGCCACCACAGTGGTTTTGATGAAGATGTTTGGAGCGTAACATAATTAGGCATCTAAAGAGTTTATTAGTTAAATGAATTTTTAGAATCAAATGAGTGAATGCAAATATAAATGAATGCACTAACAAAAGCCACAAAAAATTAGGTGTGGGTTGTTTTTGTACTTTACTTGTCATGTCATTTCCCCTTTTTTAATTTCTTTCTTTTTTTATGGCAACCATCCCAGTCCTGTAACTTTTTGTAACACTAACATTATAGAAGTTAAAAGGGCTCTGGATGATCTGCAGTAGCATCTCGTGGACCAAAAAAGGATTTGGCTTTAACGTTAAAAAATGCAAAGCATGCCTTTAAGCTTTCTTCCAGTCGCAGGAGGCCAAGGTCACCTCTGTGCCGCTTGTCGGCATCACAGTCTGAAATCATACCACTGTTTGACATTTATTATATTTTGCAAGGTGTGCCAAAAAAGACTGAAGCTTTCGATAGACATCGCAGATGCACAAAACTAAACTCAGCAACAAACGTTGAGGTTTGCATCGGTGAGCTTAGCTTGTAACCATCTTTACCTTGTTAGGAAAGTCATTATCAGTGTGGGTAATCGTGAGAACGTGAGCACAAGTTACTATCGTCCTGTGTACAGTACATATTTTTCTATTTATGAGCACTTATGTTTAAATATAAGCTAGAGTCAGATATTGATATTCAAGCCTAAGCTTGTCCTTTGAATGGGAAAACTGACTCTGAAGTCAGTCAGTTCAAACGTGCCTTTGGTATAAAAAGTATGAAGTTATCCTGCAATAAATTGTACGACTGTAGCATGGGGAGGTTTCTGATGTGGCTACTTAATGCACCTGCCCATCTACATGTCTGAATGCCTTTCCCACAGTGTAGCAGGGTGAAGTACAAGGGAGATATCTGACACTTTCGAGGCTCTTTATTACAAGCAGCTGCTTTAGATTTATTTCTCTGAACTGCACTTTTCTGGAAAAATCATTGTATTGTGATTTTTTATTGCTCTTATGATCCCCTAGAAGTCCCACAATTGCCTTTCCTCTGGCACTTTGCTTCCTTTTCTTCCTCCCTCCAGTGCAGAGCTCGGCCACACTCGTTCACCGCCCTCGTACCCTCAAAGCACAGCTTCCCTCTTCACCTCTCTCTGTGCCTTCTCTCTTCTTACACTTAACACAAACCGCTGACCCACAGCACCCGCTGCCTCCCCTCCTCTCCCATGATCCACTTACTTCCAGCTGTTTTTCATGCTGAAGAAGACAGTTGTCTAAATGTTTATGTGAAGAGCTACTTTCTTTTTCTTTAAGCCCTGATCAATTTCCAAAATGAACTTTGTGGCATGTGTTAAAATACAACAGATGACGGACCCAAAAAAACCCTGTATTTGACATCATTATTGTATTGTGATCTTCAAGCCAAGGAATGGCTTACAAAGGAGAGATTAAAGACATCTTATTGTTGTAGAGGAAATGCAGAATAATGTGAGAGGAAATGTTCAGGGAAAATATGCTCAGAAAGATGCCAGTAAAGTAAACATGTATGAAATTGCACAATTGAGTCGGGCCTCAGCTGCACCAGCCAAGTCATGCGCTGAGATGGAGAGAACAAACAGAGAGAGGGTTGAGAGGAAAAGAAGCAGAAACAGAGAGAAAAATAGCTTGTGCTTGATAGTCTTAACCTTCAGTAAATAACAAAGGAAAGCTGGCAGCGTTGTGTGTGTCTGCTCACCACTCTTTTTCCACCCGCTTCCAATTTAATCTTATGAGGACATGTTTATTTTTCTTTTTTCTTTTTTTTATCACTGCAGGTCAATTTCAGGTTTTTAATTTTAACGTTCATGTCAGTGTGACATCAGAAATGACACCCTCTTTCCAGGCCTAGCAATTATCACCAAATCAGCACATGACCTACAGTAGGCTCTTTGTAGCGAAATAGTGAAGGGGCTTCTGTCTGTCCATATCCTCCTGCATCTGTTTTGTTTGGATCTCTTTTTCTCTCTCTACCTTGAACACATACAAAGTCCACTGAGTGGACCTTGGCTTTAATTGCTTAGTTTACAGTGCACAACTTCTGCTCCAGAAGTTTAAATCTGAAGACAAACAGAGAGCTAGGACAAAACAAGCAGGAATTTGGTGCAGTGAAAGTCAGCCGGGGGAGAATATTCGATTGTATATCTCTCTAACACACTCCTGCTCACGCACACATAAACACACAGCTGGATGGCAGACTGCTGCTCCAGATTAGGTCAGATTTAATTAGCTTGCTCTGCTCCGTTTGGAGTGTCGCTTCTTGTAGAAAAACCCATTTTTAAAGAAAGGCGATTCCACTGACGGCTTTCACCCGTCACACGCTGAAACCTGTGCCAAAATGTTACAGAGCCTCAGGGTCCTCACACACACTTACGTACACAAAGGCACAAGCATCTATTTTGGTTTTGGAAAATCGGTAAGGAGAAGTGTAGAAATGATGGATTATGATCTAATGAAGACCACTTTGACATTTTGAGGTGGTTGTGCCCGACTGTGGTTCAGGGACAAATATGTTATGCAGGAACACAGGCTGCCACGTAGACAATTGTAGCTGTGAATAAATGGAAAAATGCATGGCAGAATACATGCATCACAAATTTACAATGGAAATTAGATTTTTTTTTTTTTTTTTTTTTTTTAGTAGACGACAGGATCATATTTCAGCAGGCATGAACCAGGCGTGCCAGAAGCATCAGCAGCGTCCGGTGTTTTTGTTACATGGTTTTACCTTTTATACCAAAATGACAAGTAAAAGCAATACACTTAAACCAAAACAGTATTTTCTCTTTGTGCATTCTGCATATTTCAGTGTCTATATTGATCTTACTTTGCTTTAGTGAAATGAATGTATTTATTGCATGTCAAAAGTTTTATAGGTAATTTCTTTTGTGTAAATTCTTATTGTGGGTTTTTATCATTTTATTTGATTATGGTGTCTCGATAAAATGTTGATAAGGCTTTTATTTTTTTTAAAAGCCAATGTGAAAAATGTCTTTTCTTGTTTGTTTGTTACTATACTCGAAATCAACTTGGCAATAAAATGAATTGCATAACGGATTTACACGGACGTTTGTCAAGTAATTTAATTAATTTGCACATCCAAATCAAATAGTCCAGTAAATGATTACATTTATATTTTTATTAATTTAATTACCCTTGATTACTGCAGTGCAAAATCTCTCATAACAAAACTTGTTGTAGACCACTGCAATGATTTGTGTTTTTGGAAAATTTATTTTGCATGAAATGAGTTTTACATTAAAAGAAAGAATGGGACATAAGACCACAGCGGAGAACATTTCACAGCAATGATGACCGCAAAAATGAACGACTTCTGTTCATTTTCCTACAACACGCTGGCCTTCAGGTCTGTATTCTCCCACATGGAGACATGTGAGTGCCTCATTTAAGACAGAGAATTTCAAATGAATCTCATACATCACACACAGTCCACATGCAACAATGAACAGATCCATTACTCTGTCAGCAGGAGCAAAGCCAGCCAGGCAGGCACACACACACACACACACACACACACACACACACACACACACACACACACACACACACACACACATCCTTTTCCACTGTGTGAAAAATCACCTTATTATCACCAGCACATAAGAAATCATAGTGCCTTCCAGATGTTTTATATAATTCAAGCAACTTGCCACAAATTACTTCTTGACATTAAACAAATTAGCATTTCTTCTCTCAGGTGCATTAAATCAACATTCATGAGCTGGAGGTGCTTCCTGAGAGATCATATTCACCAGGTGTAATGACAGACATCATCCGCTCTATGCTGCTTGAACAGTGGGTGAAAACAAAAGGAACAGCATGACATTTATCACAAGTCTCGCACAATTCTGCTACACAAACGTGGAACAGGAACATTTTTCTCTCATGGTAATCCCCTCACATTACAATCCACGTACTGTTTAATCAGTTACGGTCATTGTATCCACGTTTAGCAAAAATATTAACAGAATGTCTAACTTAACAGCTTCCCCCTCCCCAGACATTTCCCAACTATTAGCTGTTAATATGCATTGAAACTCCTCAGTGAATTATTTAGATGTGTCATCAAATGGCCCTGTTACATGTAGGTCGTATGAGGCACAAACTTTCAGAACAAAAGACAGGTCATAAAGACTGCCGGCAGTTTAACCAGATTATCTAAACCGCTTTATTCGAGTGTAATTGTGTAAATAGAACAACCCTGCATACAAAAAAACAAAACAAAAAACTACACGGTGTGATGGCTTGTTGCCTTAGATACTAGTAAGACAGGAAATATTTTCCAGGAAGTTCAACCTGTGTGATAAATTAGGACTTTTCAAAAACCTATCTGTGGCCAAAAATGTATGTATAGCAGGTTATACCTTTATGCAGAATAATTCTAAAACTTATTTTAATGAATAGTATATATTTAGCAGTGTTTGCATGCACGTTGGCTAATGAAGCAGCTGTGATAATGAGGAACGGCAGAATTTGAGCTTGGTTCAGTCTGGCCCTGTGCTAGCGTGCTTGATAAATAAGTGTGATAGCCTCATTCAAAGCAATGATAGAGTTTGTGCTTTCAGCCTAAAATTGAAACATAGTTATGTTGGCAAAAATTCCTCTGTGTGGACACACATAGTCAGAAAGCTATATGTGTCCATGAGAAAGAAGATAGGTGCACTAGGTCTAAAGTTGAAGGGCAGTTGGTACCCACTGCTCACTCTGAGAAACCAGGATATTCATGGCAGGGGGCCTACAGCCACTCTGGTCTCTTGCCACTCTTCCATTCGGAGACACTGCATATTAAATGGCAAAGGTCTGTGGTGTTTGGTTTCCCTCAGTGGGTGACAGAAACTGGGTGCCAGGCTCTGGAAACCCCACCATCCCTTTGAGCTTTCAGTGCCCACTGTCAGAGAAACTACCAGAAGCTCAGGGGCTGTAAACTCTACGCTAGTCTGTGTAGAGTTTACACCTTCTCCTTAAGTTTGCTTTGGTTTACTCCCACAAAACATAGTCAATGAAACTTTCGCAGACGTTAATAAAAAATGTGAGAGATTGTCAGTCCTTCTGTGTCGTCTAAGTGATGGAAATGTTATGGATGTTTGCCCTCCTTGGGGGGGAAATGTACACTGGAAGAAGTGCTAGACCTTTTTCACCCTGATCTGGGATAATTGTGGAAAAACATAAATAGATAAGGTGGATGATCAGTAGGTTTCCAGTGGAAGTTTGCGTAACCTTCTCACAAACATTCTTCAGTAGGTGAGACATGAGAAGGGCAAAGGTATTGACTGCTGAGTCATTTAAACAGTCAGGGACTGTCTGCTGTGGGCACATTAAGGGACTTAATCATAACTGTAGTTGTGCTCCAGAGAGTAAGTATCTATACCATTACAGAGAAATGACTTATGTTTAAATTAGGTGCATACACTTCTGCAGCTTCTCTTAAATTCCAGGAATTTGCTTGGGGACTCCTAATACGGTTTCCAACATTATGACACATTTTTGCATCTAAAGTTTGCTCTGGAGCTGTCAAAAGGTCAACAAAAGTTTCAGTCCCGCTTTTATAGCAATATGCAATCACTCAGAAACCAAAAAACTGAAATGAGATAGGATTATTTCTTGCTTCACTGACATCTGCTTTTTTCCTCTTTCAAATTAAATTTTCATTCAATAGCTCCTGTCCTTTGAGCCCACAATCAGACAGGCATTCTCTTTTGTCAGTCACACCTCAGTGGAGCCAGCAATCAAACCAAAGCAAGATAGTTCAGTTGGTTGTTGTCCATATAATAAGTAATGAGTTTAAGATTGACATCTTTCTCTGATTTTTTTTTATGTGTGTTCAAATAAAGAATGTACCAGCAATATAAAGTACCTATTAACTGTAAAGTGATTCTGGCAAACTTGAAACAAACCAGAGAACTAGCAAATGGGTTTAAATATTTATTTATCGTGTATATACGATGCCCTTTCTATAAGTGTAGAATAGAATTTTTTTAAAGACCTATGATATTTGTTTTACTCAGAACAGGATGGCCAGATACTGATTATGAAAGTCCTGCCAGTAACTCCCCGTGACTTCTATATGCAGAGGGCTTCAAATATGAATGGCAGAGTAAACAAGTGAGACATTTATGTGCTTGAGTAGGATGGTATGAAAACAGTGCTTAATGTTTATCAGGAGCGGAGCTTGAGCTTTTGTTTAGTATGTTCTTTACATGTTTAGTTACAAAGGTTTGCACAATAGTTATGTCTGACTCTTACTTGACCTCAGAAATGTGTCCACAGTTTTTGAATTCACTCTCAGGTTAAAAAGGCTATTTAACTGCTTCGCATTTTATAATTTTATTGTGGTTAGTTGATGCTTTTAGTTTATCACTGGGAATGCTGTGTTTGTGTTGGTAATTGTACTTTTGCAGTAGCTTATAACTTTTAAACCGCTGCTGAAGTGGCATTTATTATCACCATATATACACGTCTGACTTAGGAAGCTTTAGTCTGCTGTAATAACTAAAACAAATGCTCCCCCGGTCTCTTTTTGCGCTGCTGCCTTTCTCATTATTACATGAAGTGGATGAAGGAATTGTAAGGCAGTACATTGTTTTCCCATATTACATAAAAAAGAAAACCGTTCGTTCAAGGGCTAGGAATTTCAAACTCAAGATCCGAACTCTGAAATATGCTCCAATTAGGTTTGTGAGAAAAATACGACAACATCGGGAAAAAGGAAAAAAAGGAGACAAACAGATCACTTAAATAGCCCCCATCATGACCTTGATATGAAGTGTCTCACATCGTATTTTATTGTCTCTCTCCTCCTCATCCTCTTTTTCACTTCTTTCTTTGTCCGTCTATCCCACCCTTGCTACATTTCACCGCTTAAGACTCCCACTGAATGGAAAACAGCTGGGTCGGGGACTGCCCAGAGCACATTATGCCCAATTCTTCAATGAATTCCCATCTACCTCTCCCCGCTCCCTCTCTGTCCAGTGCGCTCCCCTGCTCCCTGTCCTCATTTAAGGTGGGGCTGTGCAGCTGAAACAAAAGAAAAACAGCCTGCATGAGAACATGTTTCTCACCCACATATGGTACACTTTCTCCCTCTCCTCCTTTCTGTGAATTTGTTTCCCAACCCTACTCCCTGGTGATACTCTGCTGTTATGGCTGGTTCTGCTTTTGACAAGCTGAAAAGCACCAAGATATAATGCAGCTGAGCTGAATGGCCAAGTATGCATACAGAGTAATGTGTCAGAATTATTAGTTTGCCCCGATACCCATAGTTCACCTGCTGTGGTAGACGATGAATCGTGTGAAGACAAACACTCATAAAACTCTGCTATGATTTCCCAAGAACAATAATATGTTTTAGGTTACACCAAACCGCACTGTAGACTAGTGGGATGCTCGGATGAAATGCATGTTAGCGCGTGTTGTTTCAAAGTTTCAAAGTTTGTTTTGAAAAAATTTAACTGTGGCCATTGGTCTTTTGAACCACCATCCCTAAAAACCAATTTAGCATCTCTGATGCTATCGGTGTTACTAGTAATACTTCCAGTACTCACACTATAACCAATAAACCTCAGGGACATATTGTTAATGATAGCCAGCTGATAACTGTGTCTGTCTGCTGTCGACAAAAC